GGGCACGCGTCGCTCGCGTCCGCGCGTGTTCGTTCGACCGCAAGCTCAGCCCAAACTTGGGCCAAGAATGGGTCAAAAGCGGACAAAAAATGGACGATGGTCCGTTTGCGGCCGTGCGTTGGGAGATCTATTCTATCATTTTACCCCAAACGAACGCGGACGGACAGGATGAGGTCACGCGTTGGAGTTGGCGTAATTCCATTGGAAGGAAGGAAGGCAAGGTGATGGTCGGTCAGTGGACTTTGGGGATCTTTTTTCCGTTCCTTTTCTTCTTCGTGGATGGATGGGAGGCTCAGGCCCCTACTCTACTCGTGCTATGGCGATGGACGGCGATCCAAAGGCGTCACACGCGTGTCCCGCTCAATGTCCCCAAAAGAGAAGGGCTAATTTAATAAGGTAAGTAGCTGTTTGCTTCACTTACAATATGAAATAGGCATGGATGGATGAATTGACTTGCAGTTCCAGAACAAAGCAACAGATCTTATGAATCTGTATGATGCCAGTCAGCCATGCTCTAGTCATGCACCCACCTCATGCTTGGCTGCTTAGCCAGTACCAAGCTATCTATATGAAAACCTGCAATCACACAAGATAGCAAATCAATCATCTGCGAAACTTGAACCCACGAACCACGAGGAAGAGAATTCATTGCGGGGGGCGACGAAACCTCGAGGGAATCGATGAGGCGCATGAGCAGGAACCCATAATGGACGGGAATTCGAAGAGTGTTCCGGAGGCATGATCCGTGCTCACCTTGGGCGCGGCGGTGGATGCGGAATCCTGGACGATTTGGTCGATGAGGAGGAGATGGACGAGCATCTCGTCGTCGCTGAACCACGTTGTCCCTCGAGCAGAAGCGCGCGCCAGCTCGACGCAGCGCCAACGCCGTTGGGGGTCAGCCTCGATCCGCGGGGCCGTCACCACCGACACGCCGACAGGGACGTGCCGCTCCCGCCCGGCCCTGCAGACCGCTGGCTCGAAGGAATCGATCCAGTGAGGGGCGAATCCACACAGGAGAGAAGGTGAGGGGATTGAGAGAGGGTTGGGCCGGCGGTGATGGGGCACCACGGCAAGGGGGCGCTGGGACGCGGACGGCGGTGGCGGAAGCTCTCCCTCGCGTGAAGAGGAGAGGAAGCCGATTGGGATGAAACCTATGGGGCGTTGGGCTTTTATACCTTGTGGAGAAATTTTGAAAATGCCCTCGGCGAGACATGGGAATTACGGCTGTGGCACGAGATCTTTTTCGGTGGAGAGCAGATTGTTCATTGCGACAATGTTTTCACTTTGATCCTACGGCCCATATCTTCCCAGAGCGAGATCCGACGGCCGGAAACGCATCAAGTAACGATCCGACGGCCGAAACACCCTGAGATCTGAGAGCGCTTGTAGGGTGCTTCGTTTCTTGTTTCTGGATGTGTATCTGCTGAGTCCGGGGCATCAACTGACTCCACTGAAAAACTGATACTTTACAGGGAGCAAATTTATTCGATCACGATATTACCGTTTGCTTGTAAAGAGACATTTCAACAATGAGTCAGCCGTGTTGGGATCCTCTAACCTAGCTTGTCTACCAAGCACTAATCCTAACGAATGGATGATGCTGTTGTCTAACACTACCAGTAATCGTACACAAAGTGGTGATAATCATCATATACCAAAAGTAAAGGTGAGTGTGCATGAGCTTTGGAGTCATATACCGTCCCAGCGCCCCCTTGCCACGAGCTTTGGAGTCGTTGACGTCAGTCAGCGTGGACAAATAGATAGATTTTTTTTTGAGTAACCGGACAAATAGATAGATGGCTGCCTACGTGGACGTCGCTCCCCCGTGGGCCGCGGTGGGCCCCACCGGCGGGCCTGTGTGCGGGGCCGGCGGCCCAGCAGCGCGGCACGGCACGGCACGCGGTCGGTTTCCGTCGAGAAAACTGGCGTGCGGCGCGGCGCGCGTCCGCCTCCTCCATGAAGCGGCTGTTGGGGTGTGTTTGGTTAAAGCCCCAACTAGCCCCACCAAAAAATTGGTATGACCAAGGAATGTGCAAGCAAGCTAGAACACGGGCTAGCCGTCGCTTTCGCTTTCGTGCCGGGCGGTGTGGAGTCGCTGTCCGCGTAATTCCATTGGAAGGAAGGAAGGGGCGGGAGCGATGGTCGGTCAGTGGCCTTTGTAGATCTTTTTTCCCCTTCCTTTTCTTCATGGATGGATGGGAGGCTCTACTCGTGCTACGGTGATGAACGGTCGATCCAAAGGTGTGGCACGCATGTCCCTCTCAATGTCCCCAAAAGAGAAGGGTTAATTTATTGACCAACGTCAATTCTCTGGCCCTATACTGGTTTCCATCCTTATGATGTGTCATATATCACTCCATCCGACATGTCAACAACACTGAACCATATATCTCTGGGCCAGAACTCGGCTGGTGGTAGGTTGGTGCGGACCTGCCATGGCATGGCAGGAGGCACGCCGCGCGCCACGCACTTCGCAGACGGCGGCGTCTATTATTATCGACCAAGTCGGCAAGGGCAAGGCGGCCCAGCCAGCCGACCCGGGCGAGGATTCCTGGCGAGATCATATTATCGGGGCCTCTTTTGGTCCGGTCGGTCATGTGGACTTGGAGGAGGATCGGGCGCCTCTCCGGCGTATACATTTGTCCTCTGATGGCCACTGCTTAGTGCTTAGTGGTGGTGCTGACAGGGTCGATGGGGAGTATAGTAGATGCCGCAGATGGAAAGATTAATAATGATGGCGACGCACTTGTAGATGGATGGCCACTGACAAGAGGCGAGTGATGCTGGGGTGGCGGCTGCGGGTGCGGTAGCCACAACGTGCCTGTCCTGCAGCCGCAGCGCAGGCTGAAAAGGACGGCAGTGTTAGCGCCCACCGTCTCTTGCATGGATCGCATCATTTGTACATCCAACGACAGATACCCCCTAGGATGTAGTTTTCTCCGCTTAAGCCGACTCCAACGCACCACCCCAAACGAATGTTCGTTTTATCTTAATTTCGTTTGTTTGGATCAGCAAAACAAACATTCATATTCGGTTTGGGCTGGCTGTCGGTCTGTGCACCCAACGCGTGGCCGTATCCCAAACATTGTTCCTGCTGGAACAAAAAATGAAACTCCCCAAAAAGACACCGCAACTTTAAAAACCCAAACAAAGGCATTCCAAAAAAACTTAAAACATAATATTTAACAAACTTTAAACAGTCCATATTTTCTTCACGGTCTGCACATAGTACATAAGTTCAATTTTTTTAAATGTGGTAGATCTGCCGCCTGCCCGCGCCGCCGATGTCGTCGCCGTCTTCAGGCGCCACCGTCCTCGCAGTCGTCGT